GGGGGGGTATACTGGAATCAGCTTGTCTGTCATTTCGTCTGTTCGTCCATAGAACAAGTTTGTCTGGACAACTACTTCTGAAGTAATTGACCAATTTCAACGAAAGTTTCCAGATATAATAACTATTACCTGAAGTTGTTCATCCAGGTATTATATTTTCATTCTTACCCTTTTTTACGAAGTTACGGCCCTTTGTTGAGAAATCCTGAAAAAAAATTCAGGACAACTTCTTCTAAAGTTACAGATCAATTTCAACGAAATTTTCGAGATATAATAACTACCACCTTAAGTTGTTCATTCAGGTATTACTTTTTTATTTTGACCCTTTTATACAAAATTATGGCCCTTTGTTAAAAAATTCTTGTACAGATAACTTCTCCAAGACTACTTGGCCAATTTCAATGTAGGGTTTCAGATATGATAACTACCACCTGATGTTGTGCATCAAGGTATTATTTTGTTCAATCTGACCCTTTTCTACGGAGTAATGGCCCTTTCTTAAAAAATGCTTGTCCATGCAACTTCTCCAAGACTTTGCGGCCAATTTCAACGGAAGTTTTCAGATATGATAACTACCCACTGATATTGTGCATCCACATTGGTTTTTTTCCAATCCTCTCATGATGTGCATCAGGGAAGTATTTTTCATTTCGACCCTTTTGAAGGAGTTATGGCCCTTTGTTAAAAATCGTTGTCCTGACATCTCTTCCTTAACTACTAGGACAATTTCAGCAAAACTCTTTTATCTGGGCAAATAAGATTTGGTTTGCAAGTATGTTTTGGCGTTGGGAGGGAGTACAAGAAGTATGTCAGTGACCTTTAATCTTAAATAAGTGTACAGCTCAGTCAATAAAGAAATCATTACTGGTGGGAGACTATGGATTGCTTTGCAATGCTTTTCCTTTAGCTTACAGTTCTGGTTTATATAGAAGCGGGGGATATAAGTTAGCCTTTAGCTTACAGTTCTGGTTTATATAGGAGCGAGGGATATAAGTTTGTCTTTAGATTACATTTCTGGTTACTATCTGTTGTAATGAATTTGTAGTGTAATTACTATCTACAGTGAAAATCTTTGCACCATACATTCTGATTCCCTTTCAATGGAGTATTTTGTGTTCGGACTCATTTACTATCATCCTTGATACTCCATGGGTAATGCTCACTTATGCTCACTTATGCTCCCTACACCCCTGGAATATGTCATGACAAAATCGAAGACTCATCATGTGCCACCTTGTGGGTAAGACAAGAAAACTTGTTTGATCCTTTGATGTACATTAAAGAATCTCACGGTAGCGTAACTGTAAAATTGACTGGCTTTATAAAGTCGTGTGTTCCTCCTCTGTAATCTTAAAAGGACAGGCATCAGCCTAGCAATTGGTCAGGTTTTTAGCTCACCTGCCCGAAGGGCAAGTGAGCTTATGCCATGGTGCGTCGTCCGTCGTCCGTCTGTCCGGCGTCAACTTTTTACTTAAACAACTTCTTTTCAGTAACCAAAAGGCCTAGGATAATGATATTTGGCCAGAAGCATCCTGGAATCAAGGGCTACCAAGTTTGTTAAAACAAATGACCTTCACCCATTTTTAAAGTCACATGGGTCAAATATGTTAAAATCTTTAAACGACTTCTTCTGAATAACCAAAAGGCTTAGGTTGATGATATTTGGCCAGTAACATGCTGAAATGAAGGGCTACCATGCTTTTTCAAACAAATGACCTTCACCCATTTTCAAGGTCACAGGGGTCAAATATGTTTAAAATCTTTAAACAACTTCTTCTGAATACCCAAGAGGGTAAGGATAATGTTATTAGGCCAGTAACATGCTGGGATGAAGGGCTACCAAGTTTGTTCAAACAAATGACTTTCATCTGTTTTCAAAGTCACAGGGTTCAAACATGTTTAAAACCTTTAAACAACTTCTTCTCAATAACCAAAAGGTCTTGGATGATGATATTTGGCCAGTAACATGCTTGGATGAAGGGCTACCAAGTTTGTTCAAATGAATGACCTTCATCTATTTTCAGGGTCACAGGGGTCAAATATGTTAAATACCTTTCAGCAACTTCTTCTCAGTAACTAAAAGGCTAAGGGTGATGATATTTGGCCAGTATCATGCTTGGATAAAGGGCTACCAAGTTTGTTCAAACAAATGACCTTAGCCCATTTTCAAGGTTGCAGGGGTCAAATATGTTTTAAACCTTCAAACAACTTCTGAACTACCAAGAGGCCTAGGGTTATGATATTTTACCAGTTAGATGCTGGGATGAAGGGCTAACAAATATGTTCAAATGAATGAACTTCGCTCATATCCAAGGTCACAGGGGTCAAATATGTTAAAGTCTTTGAATGAATTCTTCTGAATAACAAAGAGGCCTAGGGTGATGTTATTTGGCCTTTAGCATGCTGGGATGAAGGGCTACCAAATTTGTTCAAACAAATGACCTTCACCCATTTTCAAGGTCACAGGGGTCAAATATGTTTAAAACCTTTAAAACTACTTCTTCTCAATAACCAAGAGGCTGAGGGTTATAATATTTGGCCTGTAGCATGCTGGGATGAAGCGCTACCAAGTTTGTTAAAATTAATGACCTTGATAATTATTCAAGGTCACAATGGTCAACTATGTTTAAAACCTTTAAACAACATCTTTTCAATAACCAAAAGACCTAGGATGATGCTGTTTGGCCAGTAGCATGCTAGGATGAAGGACTACCAAGTTTATTCAAACGAATGATCTCGACATATATTAAAGGTCAAAGGGGTCAAATATGTTTAAAACCTTTATAAACGACCTCTTCTCAATAAGCAAAAGGCTAAGGGTGATGATATTTGGCCATTAACATGCTGGGATTAAGGACTGCCAGGTTTTTTCAAATGAATGACTTTCGCCCATATGCAAGGTCACAGTGGTCAATATATGTTTAAATCTTTAAATGACTTGTTCTGTATAACTAAAAGGTCCAGGGTAATGATATTTTGCCAGAAGCATGCATGGTTGGACGACTATAAACTCTGTTCAACCTTATGTCCTTGATCGACATTCAAGGTCACAGGCGTCATATGTTTAAACCTTTAATAGGTTCTTATGAGTCAAACACTGATATTCTGCCTGTAGCTGTATTTTAGTCCACTTTAAAGATTATTTGTAAGATTAATACCAGGTTAGCGATTCAGGCCCATTGGGCCTCTTGTTTTTATTTCCTTAGACCAGCCAAATAGATAGCCCTGTTCCTTCAATTTTGCAATGTCATCTTCCGAGGGTGCAGAGAGCTAAAGTGTTTGAGAGGGTATACAACATATAGCATTTGTGTACATGTTTGAATCAATGTGTGCATCCACAGTATAGGGACACCCCATGATCACCCCACCGCCCCTACATCCACAGTATAGGGCCACCACATGATCCCACCACCGCCTCCACCCACACATCCACAGTATAGGGACACCACATGATCCCACCACCGCCGCCACCCACACATCCACAGTATAGGGACACACAATGATCACCCCACCGCCTCTACCCCCACATCCACAGTAAAGGGACACCCCATGATCCCCCCACCACCTCCACCCCCACATCCCCAGTATAGGGACCCCCCATGATCCCCCCACTGCCCCCACCCCCACAGTATAGGGACACCCCCTGATCACCCCACCGCCTCCACCCCCTCATCCACAGTATAGGGACACCACATGATCCCCCCACCGCCTCCACCCACACATCCACAGTATAGGGACACCCTATGATCCCACCACCGCCTCCACCCCCACAGCAAAGGGACACCCCCTGATCACCCCACCGCCTCCACCCCCACATACACAGTATAGGGACACAACATGATCACCCCACCACCTCTACCCCCACATCCACAGAAAAGGGACACCCCATGATCACCCCACCGCCTACACCCCCACATCCACAGTATAGGTACACACCATGATCACCCCACCACCTCTACCCCCATATCCACAGTATAGGGACACCCCAAGATCCCACCACCGCCTCCACCCCCACAGCAAAGGGACACCCCCTGATCACCCCACCGCCTCCACCCCCTCATCCACAGTATAGGGACACCACATGATCCCACCACCGCCGCCACCCACACATCCACAGTATAGGAACACACCATGATCACCCCACCGCCCCTACATCCACAGTATAGGGCCCCCACATGATCCCACCACCGCCTCCACCCCCACAGCAAAGGGACACCCCCTGATCACCCCACCGCCTCCACCCCCACATACACAGTATAGGGACACAACATGATCACCCCACCACCTCCACCCCCACATCCCCAGTATAGGGACCCCCCATGATCCCCCCACCGCCTCCACCCCCACAGAATAGGGACACCCCATGATCACCCCCCCGCCTCTACCCACATCCACAGTATAGGGACACCACATGATCCCACCACCGCCGCCACCCACACATCCACAGTATAGGGACACAACATGATCACCCCACCACCTCTACCCCCATATCCACAGTATAGGGACACCCCATGACCCCACCACCGCCTCTACCCCCACATCCACAGTAAAGGGACACCCCATGATCCCCCCACCACCTCCACCCCCACATCCCCAGTATAGGGACACCCCATGATCGCCCCACTGCCTCCACCCCCACAGTATAGGGACCCCCCATGATCACCCCACCGCCCCTACATCCCCAGTATAGGGCCACCACATGATCCCACCCCCGCCTCCACCCCCACATCCACAGTATAGGGACACAACATGATCACCCCACCACCTCTACCCCCACATCCACAGTATAGGGACACCCCATGATCACCCCACTGCCTCCCCCCCCACAGTATAGGGACACCGCATGATCACCCCACCGCCTCCGCCCCCACATCCACAGTATAGGGACTCAACATGATCACCCCACCACCTCCACCCCCACATCCCCAGTATAGGGACACCCCATGACCCCCCCACCGCCTCCACCCCCACATCCCCAGTATAGGGACACCCCATGATCACACCACCGCCTCCACCCCCACATACACAGTATAGGGACACAACATGACCCCCCCCCCTCCCCTTCCCCCACACCCACAGTATAGGGACACCCCATGATCGCCCCACTGCCTCCACCCCCACAGTATAGGGACACCGCATGATCACCCCACCGCCTCCACCCCCACAGCACAGGGACACCCAATGATCCCACCACCGCCTCCACCCACACATCCACAGTATAGGGACACAACATGACCCCCCCCCCTCCCCTTCCCCCACACCCACAGTATAGGGACACCCCATGACCCCCCCACCGCCTCCACCCCCACAGTAAAGGGACACCCCATGATCCCACCACTGCCTCCACCCCCACATTCACAGGATAGGGACACCCCATGATCCCCCCACTGCCCCCACCCCCACAGTATAGGGACACCCCATGATCACCCCACTGCCTCCACCCCCACAGTATAGGGACACCCAATGATCCCACCACCGCCTCCACCCCCACATACACAGTATAGGGACACCCAAAGATCCCACCACCGCCTCTACCCCCACATCCACAGTATAGGGACACCCCATGATCACACCACCGCCTCCATCCCCACAGATTCATTTTATATTTTAACCATGGTATGACAACATGGAGTTCTAAACCTGGTTAGATTTTGTTGATCATCTGTCAAGGTTAAAAGCTCAAAGGTCACACTTGATCAGGTTTTGACAGAAAAAAGCTTGTGCTTGTGAGATTTAGTTTATATTTACCATAGTATGGTGACATCGTGTGCAACACTAGGTGAATTTGGGAAGTCATCGATGAAGAGTTAAGGGTCAAAGGTCACACTTAGCCACTTTTTGAAGTAAAAAGTTATTTATAACAGTATGGTAACATCATGATATTCAACACTTGATAAATTTTAGTTGTCGTCAATGAAGATTTAAGGGTCAAAGGTCACATTTAACCACTTTGATGGAGTTGGGGTATAATACTGATGTGAGCCCCCTGTCACTTTATTTGTATTGTTTTTGAAGCTTAAACGCCAAATTCCTTTGTTTTTCCTGCAGGTGCCAGAAATACGTGACAAAATCCTTGCTGACAATGCTGGCAAATGGAAACAAATAGCAAAGAAGCAGTCAAAAACTCACTTTAACCCTTCCCAAGCAGACATGAGGGCTCAAGCTAAGAGGTAACTAAGGGACTGGTCATTTTGTAAACAAGTTTTTACGGAACATTACAACTTTCACAAAGAAGGATGTTTAGCATGATGTTATAATTTGGACAATTTAGTCCCTTCATATTGCAGTCCCTTGTATGATGCAGTCCTTTGACATTCGAATCCCTTTATAATCCAGTCCTAACCATAATCAATTTCCACCCGCAACCCTTCGATCACGAGCCCGGCGTCTTACCACTAGACTACTGTGCCTCCTAATAATTCAGTCCCTTTACAATCAAGTATACTTTGACAAACCAATTCCACAATTATCCAGTTCCTTTACAACCTAGCCGTTTTAGCTGGAAACAAAGTGGCAGGATTAATATTAGTAACCTCCTGTACATGTATATTGTGTAAATAAACATAAATACATGTATCACTTGCAGATGGGCAGATACATATAACTTTGACATGATGGAGAACTTGCTGTCCGAACCACCAAAGTGTGCCGTATGTGGTAACGAGGCCAGCAAGCGGTGTTCACGCTGTCAGAATGAGTGGTACTGCAGAAGGTAAATAGTTCATTTGGGGAAAAATGTGAAATTGTTTCTTTCAAATTTAAATATGGAAAATAGCTGCCAGGGAGTTTTAACAAAAACATTGTTTTCATAACGTGCACCTATCAAATATGGTTCTTAGAATTTGTTTCAATATAATACAGAATAAATATGATTTTTTATGTAAAGGAAAAGGAGTTATTGTATAAATTTTAAAAGTGTTAAGGAAAAGGATGACTTTTCAAGTAAGGGAAGTGGTGGTGAGTTGGTGGTGGGATCTCATTCACCCCTGAAATTTCATAATGAACTTTTCCGAACTTTGAATTGGAAGAGTTCAAATGTATTTTCAGGTGTGAAAGAATTAAAGGCCATCATGAACACCAGGTAAGACTATAATTGATTTACGATATTTGTTTACAGGGAATGTCAAGTGAGTCATTGGGCCAAGCACAAGAAGGCATGTAACCTTCTGGTGGAATCTCAGGAAAAAGACACAGCACAGAACCAAGTTGTGGAGCAGACATGACAGGAACAGTTGTCAAAGGAAACACATTAATAAGTTGCAAGACAATTCATCTTACAATCATCTTCCCATTGGCAGAGGAAATGCCTTTTTCAGACAGATTCTGCTAAGTGTATATAGAAGTGTGGCTGTCTGTTTATAATAATAGTACTGTTTCCATGATCAACAATACAAGCAAACAAGAACACCTTTGTCAACATCTTTTTAATCCACTTACTTGCAAGAAAGCAGGATTTGGAGTGCTTGAGTATGAGATTGTATTTATTGATGAAATATATTAAAGATTTAATTTTATTTAAAGTGTTTGATCAAAATTTATGTGGTGATAACTTATTACAGGAGGGGACTGTAGGTTTGCACTCCGTCCATATGTTCCATGTTCCGTCCTTTCTTATTACAGGAGGGGACTGTAGGTTTGCACTCCGTCCGTATGTTCCATGTTCCGTCCTTTCTTCCGTCCCTGAAGCATGTTTGGGGTATGTCTCCTCTACTACAGTATTTCATATTGAGTTCAAAAGTAGGTCACTGTGGCCTATATTTTGACCTCTGTGTCTATTCATTCCAGGACATCATTGTTCTCTTTATGACCTGAATCATTTGAAAACATTTTTATTTTCATTCAGTAGAAAGATGAATGAAATTTACTTTTAAGTTATACTTTGTAAAATATAATTATGATAAAATATTATAGAATTATAATTTCATACTTTTTTCTAAAAGTTGAACTTGATGCTGAGACAGTGCAGTTTGGTAATGAAAAGTATCATTTATATTTCTATATTATATTGTCACATTTATGAAATTTTCAGTGCATTTACTACACCAGCAAACCAGAAATTCTCATAATAATGTTTGCAAATTATATAATTAATGAATATATGCAGGTATACTATTTTCTGTGGCATTCATGTTGTTATGAAAGTATTGTGAATGGTTGTACCAGACGATGGTGTGCTTTTGCATTACTTCCAGAAATCTGTTAAGTACATTGTTAATACATGTATAATACAAAAGTCACTTAAATGCAGTATTAAATAGCTCGGCGAATACTTCATTCATTCACTTTGTGTGAAATTCATTCATATGTTGATGTGATCACGTTTTCATCAATACATGCACCATAATCACGTTTACAATCTACCTGAGGGTCTCCATAGACTTAATCAGCATAAAATTGATATGTATTTAGTACAAGTTTGCTATATGTTGTGAACATGGTTTATTGTACTTAATACTTACTTTTTTTCACAAGCGATAAACCAAATAAATATTCAAATATATATGCAATATCGTTTTCTTATGCTTGTTTAATTAGTTTTCTTACACTTGGTTGATAAGTGTTTCTTCGTCATGAGTTTTCTTACACTTGGTTGATAAGTTTTTCCTCGTCATCAGTTTTCCTACACTTGGTTGATAAGTGTTTCTTCGTCATTAGTTTTCCTACACTTGGTTGATAAGTTTTTCTTCGTCATTAGTTTTCTTACACTTGGTTGATATTAATTAGTGTTTCTTCATCATGAGTTTTCCTACACTTGGTTGATAAGTGTTTCTTCGTCATTAGTTTTCCTATGCTTGGTTGATACGTTTTTCTTCGTCATTAGTTCTCCTACACTTGATTCTTGACGTGTCTTCAGACATTGTACGTTTGTCTTACAAAAGAACAAATAACACCATAACATCGTTGCTATTTAATTAATGAGTTGCTCATGGCATCACTAAGTTGGTAAACAAACGGTAAGTTCAAATCAGTGCGACACCCAAGGCCACTAGCTATATACAGGGGCGTTTTCTAGGATATTTGAAAGAGGGGGCGCAGAATAAAATGTGTCGGCGAGCGGAGCGAGGCGAAAAAAGTTTTGGACCTTTTTTTTTGGCTAAAAAACATAAAATAATTGTGAAATGCACTAATGTAACGGTTCCTGACTTGGAGCATGTATATTTTATAGTTGAAGTGTCATGGTTTGACATTTTTTTTATCAGAGTATGTCTTTAATTAATGAATATGATAAATTGCCATATTCAATACAATATTAGCAGATTACGATAAAAAAATCCTTTTTTTTTTTGAAAAGGGGGCGTACGCCCATTACGCCCTCACCTGGACCCGCCCCTGATATAGTCTCGCGTTTTATAATTGTTGACTAATTCACTAGTGTAGACAATGATATATCTGAAATGTCCACGCTGATTAACTCATGTAAGGGCGTGCATATTACCAACGGTGGTACATTTGCTAAGCTATCTGGTTAAAATGGTACAACTTAGGAGGCACATACGCGTCACCTTTAAATTTAATTTAAAATTATCATACTTGTAAGTACAGCATATCATCTCATTCTGGTACGTACAACTTATTACTACGTACACAATAGTATGCTGTGTGAAGATACTTTCTTGTACGTACACGATGGTAAGCTATAAGTACCACAATGAGATATTATGTTGTACATACAAGATAGTTAAACAGTTCCAACAATATATATAATACCAA